CACCGGCAGCGGCGGCACCGGCAGCGGCAGCGGCTCCGCTCCCATGGCCGCGCCGCCCGCCAAGCGCATCCTGTGCGTGGGGCTCGTGTGTCTCGACGTGATCAGCGTGGTGGAGACCTACCCCGCGGAGGACACGGACACCAGGTGCCCGCCGGCACCGGGCTGGGCCGGCACCGGGACTGGGGCTGGGCCGGCACCGGGGCTGGGGACTCGGCCGGCACCGGGACTGGGGGCTGGGCCGGCACCGGGACTGGGGCTGGGCCGGCACCGGGGCTGGGGACTCGGCCGGCACCGGGACTGGGGGCTGGGCCGGCACCGGGAATGGGGGCTGGGCCGGCACCGGGACTGGGGGCTTGGCTGGCACCGGGGCTGGGGTCTGGGCTGGTACCGGGACTGGGGGCTGGTACCGGGACTGGGGCCTCAACTGGCAGCAGGGCTGGAGGCTCTGCCGGGACTGGGGGCTCATTTGGTACCGGGCCTGGGCGCTCTGCCAGTACCTGAACTACAGGCAGCTCTGCCGCTACCGAGACTGGGCGCTCTGCCAGTGCCAGGGCTGGGGCTCTGCCGGTACCGGGGTTGGGGCATTGTGATGGCACCGGGGCTGGAGGGGCTCTGCCGGTACCGGTGCTGGGGATTCTGCCAGTACCAGGACTGAGGGGGGTCGACGGGACCGCGGCTGGGGGTCCCTGCTGACACTGCGCCGCGGTGGTGCAGTGCCCCRTGCCCTGTGCCCTGCACCGGTGCTGCCGGTGCTGCCGGTGCTGGTGCGGAGCAGCCGCGATGCTGGCGCCGGCGCTCTGCATGCCGCTGCGTGCGCGCTGCAGGTGCCTGTCGCAGCGGTGGCAGCGGGGCGGCAACGCCTCCAACTCGTGCACGGTGCTGGCCCTGCTGGGTGCCCCCTGCGCCTTCATGGGCTCCCTGGCGCCCGGACCCGCCGCCGAGTAAGTGGGGCCGGGACCCCCCGCTGCCGTCGGCCCCGCGCCCGCTGCAGCGGCGGCGTGGCGGAGCTGCTGCCCGCGGGCACGGCCGGCGCCGCGGCGCTCACCCCGCGCTCCCCCGGCCAGCTTCATCGCGGCGGATTTCAGGCGCCGCGGCGTGGACGTGGCGCACGTGGCCTGGCAGCCGCAGGGCACCGTGCCCTGCGCCTGCTGCATCGTCAGCGCCGCCAGCGGCTCGCGCACCATCGTGCTGCACGACACGTAAGGGCGGCCGCGGCGCCCGCTCGCAGCAGCCCGATCACCCTGATTCCGCCGCCGCCGCCAATCGCCCCCAATGAGCCCGGCCCGCGCTGCCCTTTGAGCCGCCCCGGGCGCCGTTAATCATTGACGGGGGCCCCGTGCCCGGGGCAGAGTCGAGGCGCCAGCCCCGGCGCTGCCCTTCGCCCCGGGCCGCCGCGGCCGCCCGGCCTGACCCCCTCCCCGCGGGCAGGAACCTGCCCGACGTGACGGCCCGGGACTTCGAGCGGGTCGACCTGGAGCAGTACAGCTGGGTGCACGTGGAGGTGAGCGCGGGCAGTGCAGCGCAGCGCCGCGAGCACTGCTGGCTCTGCACGGGGACAGCAGTGCTGTGCAGTGCCAGGCTGTGCCATGGGCCCCGTGCGGCTGCCGGGCCGGAGCGTGCAGCGCGCTGCAGGGCCAGGCCGGGCACTGCTCCCCGCTCATGGCCACTGCGCTTGGCACCGTGTGGTGCCGTGCCCCGTGGCGCCGCCCGTGCTGTGGTGTGACACTGCGTGCCGCAGCGCAACACTGGGTGTTGTGGGGTGACACTGCACAAGGTGACGCTGCACGTTGCAGTATGACGCTGCACGGCGTGCTGTGGCAGCGTGTGGCACTGCGTGAGGCTACRTGGTGCCACATCGTGCCTGCGACTGCACAACACATCTCAGTGTAAAASTGCACATGTGGTGCTGCATGGTGCAGTGCGAGGTTGCATGTCACAGTGTGACACTGCACAATGCGGTGCTCTGTACAGTGCCGTGTGTCACTGTATTATGCAGCACTGCATGTCGTGGTGTCACGCTGCACAAAGCGACACTGTGCTGCACAATGCAGCACTGATGCTGTACCGTGCAGTGTGATGCTGCACAGTGCACTGTGGCACCGGATGATGCAGCAATGCATGTCCTGGTGTGACGCTGCACAGTGCAGCACTGTGTGTCATGGGGTGATGCTGCACAGTGCAGTGTGGTGCTGCACGGTGCAATGTGACACTGCACAGTGCAGCGGGGTGTCACAGTGTGGCACTGCCTGTCGTAGTGCCACACACTATGTGGTGCTGCATGTCACCGGGTCACACTGCACAATGCGTCACTGCATGTTGCTGTGTCGTGCTGCACAGTGCAGTGTCACGCTGCACCATACAGTGCTGTGTGTCACAGGCTCATGCTACACTGTGCATGGTGCAGCGTGACACTGCACAGTGCAGCGCAGCATGTCACAGTGCCATGCTGCATAATGTGAAACCGTGTGCTGCAATGTCACACTGTACAGCATAGTGTGGCACTGTACGGTGCAGTTTGACACTGCACAGTGTGGTGCTGCATGTCGCAGGGTCACACTGCAGAAAGCAGCACTGTTTGCCACAGTGCCATGCCGCAGCRCCGTGTGTAGCACCGTGTGCCACGCAGTGCAGTGCCACACACTGCAGTGCCATGCTGCAAAATGCAGCAACATGGGGCCACGATGCACAGTGCAGTGCCATGCTGCATGCAGCAGCTCTGTGCGCATGGGGCCATGTCGCACACTGCAGTGCCACGCTGCATGCCACAGTGCTGCACATCGYGGGGCCATGCTGGACTGTGCAGGGTCACGCTGCACGCTGCAGTGCTATGCAGCATGGTGCAGTGCTGCACGCCATGGAGCSATGCTGTAGTGCCACGCTGCATGGTGCAGCACTGTGCTGCACAGTGCAGTGTTGCATGCCACAGGGCCATGCTGCACAGTGCAATATCATGCTGCACAATGCAGCGCTGTGCACCGCGGGGCCAAGCTGCACATTGCAGTGCCATGGTGCACAGTGTAACTCTGCGTGCCATGGGGCCACGCTGCACGCTGCAGTGTCACCCTGCATGCTGTGGCGTCACTCTGCATGCTGCAATACAATGCTGCATGCTGCAGTGCTGCACAGTGCAGCGTCGCACACTGCAGTACCACACTGCACGCTGCAGCACCACGCTGCATGGTGCAGTACCACGCTGCCCAGCACAGTGCCACGCTGCACAGTGCAGTGCCACGCTGCACAGTGCAGTGCTGCATGCTGCAGTACCATGGTGCATGGTGCAGTACCACCCTGCACAGCACAGTGCCACGCTGCACAGTGCAGTGCTGCATGCTGTAGCACCACGCTGCATGGTGCAGTACCACGCTGCCCAGCACAGTGCCACGCTGCACGCTGCAGTGCCACGCTGCACAGTGCCACGCTGCATGGCAGAGTGCCACGCTGCACGGTGCGGCACTGACGGGCGCTGCGGGCGCAGGGCCGCAACGCGGCGGAGCAGGAGCAGATGCTGCAGCGCGTGGAGCGGCACAACCGGGCGCGCGGCCCTGCCCAGCGCGTGGCCACGTCCGTGGAGCTGGAGAAGCCGCGGGACGAGCTGCTCCGCCTGCTCCCGCTCGCAGACCTCGTGCGTGCGCCAAGCCG